ACAAGCCGGGTGCAGTTAATTAAACAACACCATTAGGGTCATTGATTCTAATTTCGGACACACAACACACATCAATACACAGTGTGTCCAACGTGCGTGCGAGTGCAGCCTGTTGACCTACTTTCTTAGAGTGCGAACGTTGAACGTCGCCATGAAAACGGGACAACGTGGCCTTATAAGGGGCTGTTGCGGATAGTCGTCCGGTCCATGTCGCGAGGTGGCTGCAGATGGTTTTACTCCGGGGGCACTTCGGTTGCTGTCAATTATCCTGAGAATTATAGAAGGTTAGCAATGGAGGTCGGGTTGGGAGTAAGAGAAACAGGTGGAAAAGAAAGGAGGCGCCAGCAGTAGCATGTTTTCGCATATCCGTCCTGCTGTATGCAGCAGATAAGGCGACCCTTGATAATCTGATCGACGGCCGATGCAGGATGAAGTTTATGTTTGAAGAAAAAGTCATGGTTGTATGTGGGCTGGGATACTGCCAGGGCGTACAGACCTAGACAGGAGGACGATTATGGTCCTCATCCAAAGCCGTTGGCCCAGAAGCCTGTTGCAAGGCAGCGGGGAGGTGGCAATGAGTTAGTTTTACGGAAATAGACGACATCCGATTTCAAACCCTCATCCTGGAGGACCGGGAGAGTGAGTTTGTCTGACCTATCACCATTGATCAACCTGGTAGGAGTAGCTCTCAAGGGGCCCGGAGGCACCACCCAGTACAGCTCAATGGGTCAAGGATGTACGTAAACCATCTCACCGCGTTAATGTCGTCTCGTTGTGGGGTGTTAGATGCTCTAGGATGAGTGCAAACAGGGAGAGTATTTCTAGCTGCTCTACCAAAACGGTGACGTACAGCGTTCCGCAAAAAATTGCGTCTGTCTCGAGATACTGGTCTGCGACTTCTACTACGAGGGCGTCGGACACTCGGAAGTTGGAGTTCAAGTTTGGATAACCTGTGAGATAACGATTCGAGAGTCGTTTCCCGGGGGCAAGTCGTAGGCGAATCGACAGCGTGACAAACTGGATGTATTAATAAACATTCATGGACTTTGTTTGTTGTTTCTTCCAGCTTATCTAAGTATACATCATCGGCGGACACAAAAATTGAAGTAGTATTTGTTAGGAGACATTTTGTCCAAAGCCGTCGCCGACCTTGGTAGGACCGACTATAGAGCGCATGTAGCGAAGGAGTTGTGAAAGTGCGCGGTCACCGAGCTCAAGTTCAAGTGTGACCGGAACAGTAGGAAAATCCCGCGAATGCACCACCTTCGAAAACGTCGTTGATCCAACAGCGAAACCGGTGCCTTGATGTGCCAAAGGAGAGCCAAATCAACACACGATTCACATGGTCAATCAAACAATGCCCACGTGCCCTGCACTAGCAGTCCCCGCTGTGCCGGCCACATCGATAATAAAAGAAAACAGTAGTGTCAGTAAAGAAAAGGAAACAGAGGGGAAGACAAGCTTATAGAATTATCGTGGGCAATATTAAGATGTAAGTTAAAATGAGTTAAAGAAGCGTAGGCTGTATTAGACGAAGAAAAGTTTAAGACATGAAGGGGAAGACTTTGAACTGCAGACCGAGAGCGTCAAATCGAAGCTCGAACTTTTTCACGGTCGGTGCCATCACGACGTCTGCAGGCAATGCGTTCCAATAAGCTATAACCCTACGCGATAACCGAAAAGCTGCCAAAACCCGGTCAGACCGGGGTTTGTGCAACTTTAATGGGTGGCCACGAAGGGTTGGCAGTCGAGTTGGGCGAAACAGTCCAGTCAAATCAGGACCAATCTGACCCATCAATATACTATATGTGAGGACCAATTCGCCCCAAAGCCGCCTGTAATACATGGAAAACATATCCAACTTACGTAGCCTCTCCGGGTACGTCAGCTTCTTTAATTCGTGCACCATTTTCGTCCCGGACCGCAGGACTCGTTCAACTGCCATCTTATCACGAACCAGGCATGGAGGACAAGCCTGGACGCAGTATTCCAAGTGCGGCCTTACAAAAGCCGAAAATAGTCTAACGAATATGTCGGTGGTCATGATCCCGAATGACCTGCAGATCATCCACAACCTTCGCGAGCAGCTGTCGTCCAGTGTACATTAGACTTAAAGTCGGATGACAGCAAAACACCGAGGTCAGATTGGAGTTGAACTCGCGGTACCTCGTTGCCGCCAAGCAAATAACGCGTCGGCGGGTCATTCGGACCGACGCGTAGAACTGAACATTTCGCTAAATTAACGGGCAACGGCCACAAAATTGACCAGTCCCAAAGTCTATCCAGAGCCCCCTGTAGGGTCAGTGGACCAATCGGCTCGTCTATCGTGAACCAGAGTTTCAAGTCATTCGTAAACATTAGGGATGGCACACCCAATTCATCAGGTAGGTCATTAACGTATAAAGTGAAGAGAAGGGGGCCAAGAACCGAACCTTGCGGAACGCCACTGAGAACACATTGGCGGAAGGACAGGCTTGAACCCACCCGCACACACATTTCCCTTCCGATTAGGAAAGCTGAAATCCATCGTAAGACTGGTCCAGAAATACCACAGGAATTCAGGTTGTACAAAAGGCGCGAATGTGGAACGGTGTCAAAAGCTTTGGAAAAGTCAATAAACAGCACGTCCACTGCCTTCCCGCAATCAACGGCTTCGGCCCAGTGTTCACGAGCGGTTAACAAGTTAGTAAGGCAAGAATAGCCCTTACGAAAACCGTGCTGAGAGGGATTAAGCAACTCAAACGCTTTCAAGTGTCCTTCGAGAGCGTCCCTCACGAGCTTTTCCAATAACTTGACCAGCACGCTTGTTAAACTGACCGGTCTGTAGTTATCAGGGAGGTACTTATCACCCTTCTTAAAAATGGGACAAACAATAGCCTCCTTCGAGTCTTTGGGTAGAGAGCAGACTCGTAGGGACTTCACAAAAAGTTGCGTAATCGGACGGCAAGTTTCATCAGCCAACTCGTACAACAGTTTGGGATGAATAGCATCTCCACCGGCAGCTTTATTGGGATTTAATTGCCTCAGAAGCCGGAGCACTTGAGCCTCGGTTATAGAAATCTCCTCCAAGTGAGAGCCCTCAGGAACTTTTGCCTGGAGACTGATATGCGGCGGCTGTGACTCTCGAACATAAACCCCAGCATACTGTTCTCCGAGCAAACAAGCTTTTTCGTGATCCGTGACAAGCAGTTGCTGAGGTCGGGCTTCATCGGAAGCGGAAGTGCGTTTTAGAATAGCAGGTTTAAGCCTACCGTAAGGCGCATCAGTAGGAATAAGGTTAAGCAAGTCTGCGACGTCGGCGGCGACAAAAGTGTGTGCAGCGACATAAGAAGACATGTTGGACTGCGAGGTAATACGGCGACAAGGAAAAAGTGTCTCAAGTTGTAAAAATCAAATACGAAGATTAGACGCATCGAAAAGAGGCACAGAAAAACTAACATTTTCCGACGTGGCCTCAGAGGAAACGTGTTCAAAAATCATGGCAAAAAATGGGAGTTCTGAGGTTCAAAGAAAATCGTTAAAGAAAACCAAAACCAAATGCAAAACCGGGTCACCAAACATTCAATTAAGGGCTCTACCAGATATCCCATACGATCACAACTTTAGTGAGTATCGTGGATTTGGGACACTATCAAAGGCTTCCGGAAAGTCAACAAAAGGCACGTCAATAGCATGACCGCTGTCTACTGCCACAGCCCAGCTATCATGAGCTACAAGTGAATTCGTCAGACGGGAAAATTTCTTACGGAAACCGTGTTGTGAGGCACTAATGTTAAATTTATTCAGATGATTCTCCACCCAATCCCTCACCAGTTTTTCAATCAACAATTACTACGCTTGTCAAGCTGACAGGCGGGTAGTTTGCGGGCAGAGCACTGTCACCACCTTTAAAAATCGGAGAGAAGATTGCGTCCTATTCTGAAAGTAAGGCGAAGCTGCCTAGCGATATTATAAACTTACATATGAGGGGGTCAATTAGTTTAGCGGCCAATTGATGCATCAGCTTCGGATAAATTGAATCAGGGCCAGAATCTATGGAGGGACTTAGCCCTTGCAACAGCCCAAAGACTTGTCTCCGTCAATATTTCGCAGACGATGCAAAGCTGAAGGTGACCGAGCCTATACCGTGGGCGCTTATCATCAACCTTATGAGCTCTATGCTTGGATGGAGGAAACATGGGAGCCGATCATGCGTTGAGGATTGGTACTGATATGTATTGCTGTTAAACGGATTTGTAGTGCCAGGTTTGGTATTTTCTATTGCATATTCGACGGGATTGCAGTAGACCGGTCCTTAAGATAAGTACATTAGCGGGAGAAAGGTAATGTAAAGCATACTGTAATAGGTACTGAGTTTTAGAGTGAAAGACCATGGTGCATAGTGTAGCGCGTCAGGGTGTCATCGTAACAAGTCAACAGATAAGCTGTCACGGAGTGTAGCCTATATAGTGCTTGTCATTTCCTCCTCTCTTTACCTTCCCATTTCGTTTTCAGTATCGTTAGAGCCACCATCTATCTAGTCGCCTTGCGCTCGGCCCTCTACGGGCAGCTGTGACGGTACTGTCCAGTTAGCCACGAGATGTGACACAAGCACACCGTTCATTCAGCTCCGACACTTACTAGGTGGTATTCCAGCCGCCTACTAAGTATCTTCTTTGCCATTCAGCCCAATAGGTCTAATACGACCCACATACGTCCCAGGTACAAAAGCCTTTGGAACCCTCGACCAGACGCATATAACATGTAGTTGCAGCGCAGTCCGCAACTGACGGTTGGAAGGCAGAGCAGTTTGTTTTGACAGCAGTAGGATACCAAAGGCTAAATTCATGAGTGAAACAAGGCAGCATTTTGACGGTATTCAAGCTAAACAATTCAGCAGAGATGTGGCCTTTTAATCACCTAAAACTGAACGCGGAAACAACGTTGCAACTCTAGGAAGTATACCGCCATGCGATTAGGTACACTGTTTTGATGATGAATACGAAGAAAAAAGCACTGCTGTTAACGCTATATATGAACTTCCATTCATTGCAAAGGAATGAAACTGTATTTAGACGTTAAATTCCAAGTTGTGAAGCTTCAAGTCAAGGCAAACAAGGGGGGAAAGTACGAAGTAGGAGCAAAAAATTGAAGCAACACTTTAACGCCCAAGATTAGGAACAGTGTTCATCACATACATTTTTTGTCCTTCTGGACTTTAACCGAAGTGGAAGAATCAAGCTCCTTCTGCCAATTGAGCGGATTCCTCCGATAACATGGCCACGGCGGGAGTACGACAACTGCAGCAACAACTGTACCAATCAACACTGTATAGATACTGATTGACAGCATTTCTTTGCAATAGCCGAGAGGAAAGCCGATCAACTAAAAAAGGGTGGATGACAAAAATGCAGGATTACGAAAAATATCGCGATAATAATGTACAGACACCATTCTGCCTTCCTTTGTCCCTTATAGTCCTGTTATAATAATAGATACTAATTTGAATTCACCATATACAGGTTGTGATCGTCGGCCCATTCACGTAGGAACTTCGCTAGATTCATGACGTGGCAAGGCGAAAACTAGTCCGCCGAGAGCGTCAAAAAAACGAATACTAACTTGTTGGATGTATTGCTGGCTCTGACTGCGATTACCAACAAACTGTTGGCGAAAAACTAAACCTACCAATGATAGCATGAGAACGTTGCGTAGTTACCGAGCGCTGGAACTCTTCCAATACTGTGGAAAGCAGTGTTTGGATAAACATTTGAAACTGAATTTGACTATATTATACTAATTCTAATCTAGGATTTCGGATCGATTAAAGCGGATCTTCTCAACGCCTGTTTGGCGCTTACTGGTAATTTTTACCGGTTGTTCACAGTTTAGTCCCGCGTTGTATCAAGTTTCTATTAATTGAGCACCTTTAACTATGGTATTAGTGTTATGATTTCCCTGTTTTCCACTATGTCTGTCTCCCAATGCACAGGAGTTGTTTTCCAGGTGGCTTGGATTCTAAGGTTATCACACTTTGCGACAGTTTAAGCTGCTATATGCCAGTAACTGTCCATTCCGGTGGTATGCAGTGCTATGTCTGCAACCGATGGTCTCAGCAGCTTTGCAGGGACCTGAATATAGGGCGGTACGCAGCGCTAGCCTCCTGAGAAATGTTGCTTTTCAGTTGTGCCAATGGCTGCAGCCGCCGGCATTGCCGCGCAGCCTTACAAACGAGAGACAAATCGCTTGCTAACCATTTGCGAAATGTAGTGGGTTCGTTCTCCATGATCTCAGATCTTCGCCATAAGTTTGCTCTGCTCATGACGACGCGTCTGGTCTCCAACGACGCAGATTGGATCGCTTACACTGGATATCAACTGGTGGCACTAATCATTATGTCGATTTTCAAAATGGCTGCCGACCAAGAGTATGAAAGCTGCTTCGGACGTCATATCTGAATCTACCATGATCGACGCCAAGTTTCTGGTTCAAGAGTCCATTCGAGTAAAGCGAAAGAGAGATAAGAAACCCCGTAAGCTCTTTACTAGACAACAAGATGTAGTAGTCTCGGTACCGGAAACAAGTCAAGTGCCGTTACTTGTCAAATTGTCAGGCGTTTGTGCAAAGGCGAAGATTTCCACACACACTACTTGAGAACCGAACCCTCGGATATCACGGCTCTCACCGAGAAGGCACATTCAAACGGTTTGTTTGACTCGACTCATCGCAACAAAGCGTCACGTAACCCCACTTCCGTTATCAAGAAGAAAAACAGACCAAACCTGCCATAAAGCCTTTCGGTGGAATCGATGACCCGAAAAATATAAGGCGTCGACAATGGAGCCAAAAGCCTGCACTGCCGTTGCTACATCATCTGGGGGATAATGACAGTTCAAACACCAATGGTGCAGCCACTCGCTTCAAGTATCGAATCAAAGAACAGTAGGGTTTGAAAAGCACGGAAAGAAGACGAAGGCTGGTAGATGCATGCATTTCGTATTGTCTCCTCAGTACCATTAACAATAACCGATAAGCATAGATATAGCTAACAGTAGGTGCAACTAGACAAGCTTAAGGTGTAAAACGAATGACGGAAGTTCACACCTACGTCCAAGGCAGCTCTAGACTGACAAATAATTGATTCTGAACACACAAGACTGGCTTAATCCGGCTTATAGCGACAGCCTCAGCAAACCGAAGGAAGCGGGGATTAGTGTGACGTAACACAACTTGAAACGCTGAGCCCAGCTCTATTTGGTGACCCGAGACTAATAGGTGTTTGCCTATCGAGGAAGCCGGCGGTCTGCGCGCACATGGAATCTGACGAGGGTAGGCAATCTGAGCAACTTCATGTTGAACCCATCTTGGTACATGTTCCTTTATTCGGGAAGTCAGCGTTCTATTAGTTCTGCCTATGCAACATTTTCCGCAGTCACATATAAATTGGTATACACAGTGTGAGTTGGCCCCAATAGGCTGAGCTTCCTTCGTTGTAGGTATGGTCAAATTTCGGGTTCGGTTGATGACGACAATTTGTGCAGCATAGTAACTTCCTTGTTTATCCGAAATTATACGCTTAGTTGTCTTCAGCGTGGCTAAGTCACCTTTGAAATGTAACGGTATACACTTTCTTCTTGGCTGCCGTGTGCACCAAGTCATTTGGCCCTCGCGGTTGCCTGTGTTTCTCGATAAATGTTCGACGGTGACCGTCCGCCATTAGTGATGCTGTAATTAACACTAGACCATCGTCCAAACAGTCGGCCCAACAAATTCGTCTGGCACGACAAACTAGAGTCTTCACAAGTGTCCGTTTGTACCGCACTGGTGTGAAGCTGGTGAAGTGCAGGTACTGACCGGACCAAGTTGATTTTCGGTAAATGGGCCTCTTAATCAATCCATCATCCCTGCGACTTATGAGTATGTCCAGTTATGACAGACAATTGTTCTGTTCTACATCGCATGTAACCCGTACCTTAACATGAGCACGACTGAGCCGTTCTACCAAATTTGTGAGCTGGTGCTCCGACGAACAGAAAGCCAAGATATAATCGACATGTCGTTTGTAGTATGGCACCTGGGATACTTCCGTAAAAATGCTTCTTTCTGCCATCAGCATGAAGAAATCAGCGTGCACATGACCTAATGGGCTACCCATTGCTCCGCCGTCAATCTGACGGTATGGTGTATTCTGGAAGTGAAAATCCACATTCACCGTGCGCAATAGTAGAGATTCTCTTAGCAATTTAGTCCGAATTGCTCATCATCATCATTATGCACGTCAGCTAGAGGTGGGAAAACACCTCCGCTATTGTGCCGCAATACCTGAATCAGAAATGGTAGTGAACATCCACCGTTTTCAGCTAATTCTCACACGTAATCAACTGTCTGATGTAGCGGCACGTTGGTAAATAAGCATTCTATATTCAAGGAACATATGACTTAATCTGACAGGTTGAATTCATCCAGGTCCTCGATGAGTTGTAACGAGTCTTTAAGACTGTACGAATTGAATTGTTGTTTCAGCGGAGCTGGCAACATCCCTAATCAACGAGCGAGTTTGTGCTTGGGTGTGTTCATCATTGAAACGATTGGCCTAAATGGCAGTTCATTCTTATGTGTCTTTGGGGACCCATACAACCGTGGAATAGTGTTGCCACTCGGCTTCAAACTATTACATGTATCAACGTCTATCACGCGTTGGAGAAGAAGTAATTCCAGTTGACGAACTATGCGCGTTTCGGCATTGTGTATATTCCCCACTTTCGTGAGCTGTTCGAAGTTACTCGCATCGTTGAGTATGGCGCACATCTCATTGTGTTCGGTTTTGCACATAATTACCAGTCCTGAACCTTTATCTTGTTCCATTACGACTACGTCCTTAACTCGTAGTTCACCTAAAGTTTGGAGATGTCGAGCTGTAATGGCACAATTTTCATTAATTAGCTTGGTTTTCACCTCATGCGCGATACCGGTTAAGTTGTTTCTGAATCAAATATGCTTATCAGGGCTGGTTGGTTGGAGCTCCTTAAACTGGTCAGTAGGGTTGTTCACCCAGTCGGGGTGATTCCTTCACGGATGGTTGGGTTATATTCCGTAACGCCGCGAAATCCACTACTATAATTCCTGCTGATGGCAAGTTGGACGACCTTCAAGGGTTTAAATGGTGCCTAACGAAGCTGCTTCTGCATTCTGTTCCAAGCGTTCCCGTCAGGAAGCTGGTAGGACTGGGGAAGGTCCCATTTAATGTAGCAAACATTCGACCGCGGCCACTGTGTTGTACTCTATACCCCGGTGGAACGCAACGCTCACATACGAGTTGCATTAAAGCTGAAAGGTAAGAATATTAGTGTTCAGCAGACATTCCGCTGGCCGATAGGCTAAAGCTAAAGGTGGCCATCAAGGACCTAAACAGCAGGCGAGCAGCCAGTGAACGAGAGCACCGGTTAATGGGTTTTCGGGTGGTCCGCCGGCGGTCCTATTCCGCACTAGCATTGCCATTCTGTTAAAGCACGACCCAGGTCTGACCTTACGAGGATCTTCTGATAGAGGTAAGTAACATGCGCATCCGAAGGCATAAGGTGTATGGGTTACGTCGGCTCGTAGATGGGTGCCATCCCGATGTACTGGGATTCACTGAAAAGTAACTGTCTCAAGACATCACGGATGATGAATTATAGTTAACTGGCTACGCACTACTTAGATGCGCTCGCTCCGCTGGCCGGCAGGGAGGAGGCGTCGCTCTTTATGTGAGCTTTAAAATTGACGTTTTGCAGACTTTTTTATTTCAGGCTGCACACAAATCCTGAGGCTCTGTCGGAGGTGATTAGCACAGCTTCGGCTCAGGTTACAGTTTTAATTGTGTATAGAAACTCTGGGAGCGTAACTAAAGAGCTACTTGACTTTATTTGCTCCCAGTCCGCAAACAATTGGTTGGTGATGGGCGACTTCAACCACATGGAGGTTTGCTGGGCTGTTAATGCATGCAACAGCGTAAGGCACGTTTGGCGCCGATTTAGTTTAGCTTACGTCCCAAGTATCGCTGCGTCAGTTTATTCACCTCCCCACTGGATACATAGACGCCCAGGTATAGCCTATCTTAGAACTTGTATTTGCTGTCACTAGGTTCCAGTGACTCTTTTTTGCCCCTTTGTTTTACTCTGTCTAGATGCTACCAGAGTATTGTTGAGTCGCTCCCGAACGTATGGAACGAAACCATTCAGTTAAGGAGAGCCAGGCGATGACCCTGTCCAGATTGCCTGGGGTATATTTACGTCCGACCTCAAAGAGTTCTCTGTTCCCTTCATCCCAGGTACAAGGAGAAAGGGGGCGCGAACGTAGCCGCGCTGGATAGATTCCGCTTGCGGGCACCTGCTCAAAAAGAGGTCAAATTGTTTACGGATTCTTCGTTTACCGCTACTTATGGCAATTCCTGCAAGGCTATAAATAGTTGTAAGCAACGCCTAAGGAATGTCCGGGGCAATTTCTAGCAAGGGTTAGCAGAAGAATCTTCAGAGAATCCAAAAACCTTTTTCGTTTGAGTCAGAAGGAGCTGCAGTTTGAACATATCAATTAGAGTATTGAGGCTTGATGCCGGTACTCCTGCGCAGACAGACTACAACAAGGCCTGCGTACATACTGGGCC